ATGTGAAGAGGTTTAGAGAACATTGCATTGAATATCTTTACCTACCTACTTGAGCTTTAACTTGAGTTTTTGATCTTTGAGTGATCATTGCTTGTAATCCTCTTCTTGTGCTTTTAGTGAGTGATCTTGGGGATGTCTTGATTCCTTCAAGAGAGATCTATTGAGAGGATTTGTGGGGCTTACATTGTAAAGGGGTGAGGTTTGAGAGAAATACTCATCTTGTTGTAAAAGGATTGAGTGGCTCCTTTAAGCCACCCTTGTCTTTCTTAGTGAAAAGTGTGGAGGAAATCCTTGGTGAGTGAAGCCAAGGTAGAGGACTAGGCTCCAAGTGGTTGGACCGAACCTCTATAAATTCATTGTGCAAACTCTTCTTCTCTACTCTCCTTAATTTGGGTTTTGTGGTTGAAAAAGGGGAAAAGTTTTGGAACTCCAATTCATCCCCCTCTTGGAGTACATTGAGTCAACAGTTCTGACTTTATACTTCAAGCCACCTTTACCTCTTCACCCCATTATTTAGCCCTTCCCCTATCTTAGTGAGTTTAAGAGTTTGCTTCACTAACTTAGCCTTATTAACAACTTCAAAATAGGTTTTTAAGCCAAATGTCATTACCTCATGCTAAACATTAGGGTTAAGCCGAAAAGTAAATTTCTTAATTTTTGTTTCCTCATCCTCTTAAATAATAATTGAAACAAATTTAGAGAGTCAATAAAACTTTTTCTTATAATCAACCATTGTTCTATTGCCCTATTACAAATTAAAATATTTCATCTACATTTCAAACTTTACACTGCTAAGGATGAAATCTCTGTAAAAGGACTCCTTGAATTCCTCCCATTTCGCTAAAGTAATAACAATACGCTCTTCTGCCTTCTACCAACTATTGGTATCCCTTCAACATGTAAGCAGCAAATGGTGTCTTTTGCTCCTACGATACACCCTTCCCTTTAAAGCTTTCTTAATATCATCAATCTAACTTGTACAACTAGCTCAATAGAGGAACCATCAAAAGGTTTTTTTCAACTTGGCAAATTCTATTAATCCATATTTCAACCCTGACACTACATTTACAAATACTTTGCATCAACTCTCCAAAAGTTGGTTGGCCCTATTGTCCCAATTGTCCACCATCATCTTTAACCATCGATTGTTCATGATTCCTGGCAGATGAATGTTGTGACTCACTCTAGTCACCATCTCTTCCCACATTTAGATTCATTGGCTCACTATGTCTACCAATAGCTATACCTTTACCTAAACCAACTTGCCCAACTTATGCTAGTTTCTTCCATTGAAGGCTAATTCCCTAACTAGTTGTAGACCTAGTGTTTCTTTTAAAAGGCATTATTGTGGAATACTATCAAAATAGAAAGGAGAAAAAAAATTAATCCAAGGTAATAATTAACCACTATGCTAAAATATATGTAAAGTATGTAAATATGTCCCCTTTTGTATCTACCCCATTCTTGCTCATTGCCAACAATATTTAAAGTCCTTAACTGGGAACTTGAAATCTCAATCTAAGTTATGATACCACAAATTTGTCATGCCTTAACCCATAAGTTAAGGCATAACAAACAGCACATATCTGTAAGGGTGACATCATAACTGTGTAAGGTTATGTAACCTACAAAATCATTACAACCTCCCATAAAAGTTTTAATATAGCTTGCACCTTTAAATGAACAATTTCAATAATAAATCTTAACAGTCTCCAAATAACAAGATCAAACTCTATTAACCAAAAACATAAGGTGTTTAACAAACTTATTCCATCAAACCAAATAATCTTCCAATTGAGCGATAACTAAAGCTTTATCCATTTATTCTAAAGATCTCTCAGTCCCCATGCAAATCCCAATGCTCATACTTCATCACCTGTAATGAGATGAAATTTAAAAACATAAGTTTAAGAACTCAATAAGTAGTATACCTATCTTACACAACCAACCGTGAAATTTATAAACTTAATATTATTATAAAATAAATGAAAAAATCACAATTCCTTTCTCAAAACCAAAGTATTCCATTTCTCATTGTTTATGGTTATATAACAATCCAGAGTTCATAGCATTGAATCATTAATCCACAATACATTATCCATAGACCTCAGGTCTATCCCAATACCAATAACTCAACCCTTACAAAGGTTAACCATACAACCAGAACAAAGCATAAACCAATCCAAATTAAATCGTTTCAATGATAATGATAAAAAAAAAAAATAAAATAAATAAAAAAAAAAAAACAATAACTTTAAATTAACAACTTCCACATGGCCTCAATCTCATCTCAAACTTAAAATAAAATAACATGCTTGGACCACAACTCATCTCATTCCACAATAAAAAACATATTAATAAAATTATTTCATAAAAAGAACTAAATTAAAATTGGACAAATCTTATTTAGATAAAGCAACTTTGTTTCATAAAATAAAATAAAAAAGAAAGACTAGAGAGTATAACTACTTACCTCAAATAATTATCATCCAATAAGCAATTCCACACAATTACTCAAAGCCTAAGAAAACAACAAATAAACATAACTCAATCACTAAGTAGAATTTAACTAATATTGCTCAAGCATTGCAAGAAATAATTCCAATCACTCAAGCCACCCATGTTTGACTTTTCCACTTAGTCTAATGTTTGAACCGTCCAACACAATTTCCTCCAACTAACCAAGTACAAAAATCAACCTCTCACTATTGGAAACCATAGCAAGTTTTGCCACTATACAAACCACCACAATTTGCCATTTACTAGAAAACAAACCTATTGTACAAATCCTGGTCTCATCTAGTGCTTATCATCATGCTTTATTAAATTAGAAAACCAATTGCATGGGCCATTCCTTAGAACTTGAATAATAAAAACAACTAAATGTCAACCTATTAAGTTTTACCTCTTGAAAACCCACAATCTTTAATCAACTACTGAACATAATATGCAATTCACATGATGCAACTTAAAATACTATATCATCAGCCCTCTTTTTGTTATGTCTCAACAATCTCAAAATTTCTCACCTATTCAATTCACATCTTACCATTTACTAACGCAACACAAAACTAAACGCAATGAAAAATCTCATACCTTGTATAAACAATGATCTTCCTCCCTACAAAGTTCAAAATTAAGATTGCAACAGCACCACCCTTTTAATTTCCCCTTGAATTAGATCCCAAATTGCCAAAATCCGCTCTAGATTGTGTTCATTTCACTACTAAGAGGTTGTGATTCCTCTTCTGAAAAATAAACTACCAACCTCTAGGTTATTCTATTTTTAGGTCAAACTAAAGGTTTCTTTCAACTTAGTCCCTAGTTCCCTACCTCATTATAATTAAACCCCAAATTTAATCCTATCATATATACACAATTGAAGGACTTAAATAAATTATTTAAATCTTAGAAAAATCCTCAAATATTACAAATGTGCAACCTTTGGAATTAAAAAGATGATTGTAGAATTCATCTCTTTGAAAATTTTACTTGAAGAGGAAAACTCTTATATTGCCTTAATAACTACTTCACCCACCACAAGCCAGGCTGCCTCATAAAATTCATAAGTGCACCCATTTGGTCCAGGGGCTTTATTTCATGGGCTAGAGAAAACAACAACTTTGGTTTCCTCTTCTGTTATAGGTTGAAGAAGGGAATCTAACATAGTTTTAGGTAATTGGAATTGAAACAGATTCTTAAGCTAATCTTCAACTATATTGGTGTAGTTTGAGTCCACTATACCCAATAATCCTTGGTAGAATTGAACTACTTCATTCTCCATTTTGTAACTATGGTAAGCCTTCTGTTATCTTGGGTGTGTACTTCTCAAATTGTGCCTTTTCCTTTCTTAATTATAACCACTTTGTGAAAATAAGTGGTGTTACCATCACCCTTCTATAGACATTTAATTCTAGATTTTTGTTTATAAAAAGATTCCTTAGCTAGTTGCAAAGTTGCTACCTTTTGTGCCTAATCATGCTAAACTTATAACAAATTAGCAATAGGACTAGCCAAAAGATCAACTTGTATCACATGTAGCTCCTGTAATTCTTGCTATAATTGATTTGGCAAGTCATTGAAATGATCTGTGTTTAGCTTTTTAAGAATAGATTTCAGTGCTTTCAACTTCTTGCATAACTAAAACATAGAGTAACCTTGAATTTCAGTGGAATCCCAGGCTTGTTTAATTACCTCCAAAAATTTCTCATGCTTATTCCAAAATGTGAAGAACTTAAATGGCTTCCTTCTA